AGAAGGAAATGTTTAAGGGTTAGTGGAGGGTGAATACGGGAGGGACATGGACCCACCAAGAAGCCAGTACCACCGGCCACCAGTCCCGCTGAAAAAAGCGTACTAACTGGTGAAACTTAGGAAAACTGAAAAAATACCAATAAGACGATCATTAATGAGAGCAGAGCGATCAAAACCAGGACGGTCATTTGACTTAATATGATTTTTTCCCCCGTCGCATGAGTTTCTATACTGTTCCACCTTTAAAACATTTATTTCCTCCTTCACTGGCATTTCTTATATTTTCAATGTTCAAGCGAAAAAATGGGAATAATCTTTTGAAGAAGGAGATACTGACAGACGTGTATAGTTATGATGGTCAGGTCAGATTTGATGGTCAGGTAAACTGGGCGTATTATTTGAGAATGAGAGCGTTGTGCTATTTTATTAGAACTGTGATTTGTTCAAATGGTTTTGCCTTAACAGTACACTAGGATGCATGTAAAGGTTATTTGATTTGACCAGCTATAAGTACAATTTTCCTTCTGTACGTTCAGTTCAAATTGTGTATCTGAGCCTTACGTTTGAGAAGAAGTCCCAGACAAATTGTGTTATCCCTTTAATGCTGCATGTTTCATATTTAGTATATAGATTTCTGAGATTAAAAACAGCAGTTATATAGAGTCTTTCCATTTCAGTTCACAGAAAAACATTTTTTAAACAGTAGTTAAAAAGACAAAGAATGACTTTAGATGAAAAAAACTTTTTCCAATTGTTCCTTGGGTGATACTTTAAAGGGTTAATTTCAGTGGAAAATTTACATTTTTAGAGGACGAATCTTTTGTAACATTTTGCATCACAAGAACATTTCTCTCCGTATAAAAGGAGAGATTTACACATGTGTACGATCCACGACTGCTAGCCCTTTGACCAAACAAGGGCAATTATAAAGCTAGGCATGCTTTTTTTCCATTTCTAAAATAATTTTTGATGCATTTTATTGAAGATGTTATCACATTCTGTTTTGGGATTTTGAGGCGTCCTCGTGGTCTCCGACACGGAAATGATCGAAACATTTCTAGATGGATAGATATCTTACTGCTGCTTTCTTATTGTTAAAAAACTGTTAGTTTTTAAGATGAAATACACCTTTATGCTATCAGATACGGATTCTTTATTTTATTCTAAGGAAGAGCAAATCATTCTCAGGGTATTCTTCAAGAGGTTGATTTTATCCAGTTAAACTTAGGACAACAACAAAAAGAAAGCTCCTCACGACGACATAGAAGTTTTTGACAAACTGGTATCTCTACATCTACAGCTCACCTCACGCACAGGCAGTAAGCTCCCTGCACCGTCTCACTGTCCCTCAGCAGAAAGCTTCCATCGTGTCCAAACATCTGCAGGAGCCTTTCCGTGGCCTCGCTTCCGATTCTCCCATAATAGATGGACTGGATGAACATGCCCTCCGCGTCCATGTAACTTCAGAGAGACAAGCACTCATTTGTGTCTTGGCGCGGAGGGTGAGAAAGACTGAAGCGGCACATTCGTGTGTGAAAGGTTATGAGGACGGAAAAGCATTTATGGTTTTCACACTTTTCTACCATGTGGCCTCACCTTACAGGACCTGCACTGCTGTTAACCCGACAGATAATAGAGCTCGTATATCAAAAAACTTCTAAAAACGTTTTCAAGTTTTGTGTGTCTTCTGACACTTTTGTCTCAGCAGTGAATTCAAATGGTGTTTTTTTTGTGACATTGAACTATCAAAGTGTGATTTTCAGCAAAACAAGCACAAACCACCCCCCAACCCCAGCCCGCAGAGTTGCAAAGTTTATGTGTGGTTGGGTGTAGCGCTGTAAAAAGTGTTTACATAAAAGATAAAAAGGTGAGAGTAGCAGGAAACGCCACCCAAAATGCTTTTAGCTTGTACAGTCTGCAATGAAGAGTCAGAGTGTAAAATAGATTTTAAAAAAGCTAATTTAATGTGAGTTGACTTCTTGTACAGAGTGCTTTGAATAGGTCAAGAAAGTACGATGACTATATTTTCTCCCATTTGTCCATTAATCCCTATCGATGCCTTAACACTGCGACTCACAGCATTTGACAGCCTTTCCTCCATCAAAAAAGGAAAATACATTTTCTCCAATAACAACTACATTTTTCCCCCACTAAGAACCAAAAACTGGAACCTGTGCGGCTTCACCAGTTTGTAATGTATTTCAACAACAGAATTCAGATAGAAAGGCTCTTTTTACACCAAAAACACTGATAACCCAGTTTGGTCAAAATACGACTTTGTTTTTTAAAACCGATAAAGGTTGTGCTGTTGTTACCACGGCAACAGCAGCCAAATCGATGTACGTAACATAATCATAAGCCTCTTTTCCATCTGTGCTGTTATTGCTGTTAAAACGCGATTTTGACTCAACACTCGAGTATGAAGATGTCATTTTAAAAAGCAGTTGCAAAACATTTTTAATAAGACAAATAGCTCATTTTTGTAAGTAAGTTCTTGGCGCAACGCACAGCGATTTTATCACTATCAGAATTACCAGTATCAGTTGAGTGACTGTGGAAAAAGTTATCTTATAACCTTAACCACAACAAAGACAACTAATAGTACTTGTATTCATATTTTCATATGCTTCATGTAAACAACAGCATGGAAGACATTTGATGTGAGAAAACAATTTTGCTTGCAAACTGTTCGGATCGAAATAGCTTTTATAGAATTTTTATCAGATTGTCTAGTAATGTGCAATGCATGTGTAGATAGAGGCGTCCCATTTGAATCCAAACCATGACACATTTCAAGTAGTGGACATGAGGACATTGTAGACAATAACATCCTCATTTCGCCTTTCTTGTCCTTATTTGGGCTTGAGTGAGCTGATGGTTTGGAGCTCGGCAGCAAATCTCTCGCTCAGATCTGCGTTGGTCTGCAGGAAGTCGCCCAATCTTATCAGTTGATCTGCGCCCTGGGGAGGATGTCAGCGAGAGTCTGTTCAGCTTTCGTGAGTGTTTTGAGTGAGCCAACGCAATCGGCCAGTGTTTGTTTCTTCCCACCTGTGACTTTGCACCATGGTCCACATCATCCTCAGCGGCAGCGTGCAGACGCTCCTGCAGCATCTCCTGGAGCAGCTCACCTTCCCATTGGCTGACTAATTCGGCGCTGGTCTCCGACTGGCTACCGGAGGCACCCTTTAGTCTGATCGGCAGGTCGGGAGAGTCCATTTGGTCCACCCCGGAGATGCATATGGACAAATCCAGTGACAGCATCTGCACGGGGATACATTTATGTAGGCGGAACATTGCTCCGTTCGTTTGGCTGCTGGGTGTCCAGCATTACAACGAGCCCTTCAGGGGCAGTCGAGCACAGGCATGCTCACGTTTTCTATTTGCCGTCCGGCTGCTGACATCTCCGGTTCGTGGCTAAGCTGCTGCACAAAGTGTTTCAGAGCAGTCCGGTAGTGTCTCATCCAGTCGTCCTTCACGCGGAGCTCACATGAGTGCATCAGCTCATTCCTGTATTGGATGATCTGCAACAAAACACACACTCAAATGTCACTAGCCAACAGTTGAAATGTGTTAAACTACCAGATGGGTGTTAGCTTACTGTTATAATGTGTAAATGTATACTATGTGAGATCGTGTTGCCGAACCGTCTGTAATTCATAGCACGACATGCATGCATGAGCTCTCTGCTGCCAACCACACCACTCTAACCCTGTAGGTACATTTAGACCACAAACGCCCCCCTTTCTCAGATGTAGGTGAAAACTCTGTTTGTCTGACTTAAATCGGGTCAGTTAAAAATAAGGCAACGACCTTCACGCTACTAGCTTAGCTAACCAACTGAAATGGTAAGTAAAGGTTAGGGTTATGAGAACTTCTAATACCAGCAAAGTCTTGATTCCACGAAGAGCTGAGCAGGATAGTATGGTCAAACACAAAGAGGACTGTTTTTTTTTTTTTTTATTAATCAGAATACTAAAGAGGACTTATTGCAAAACAATTGATAATGAACCTGTAAATCATTGCAGCTTCCTAAGCACCCTCCTGTTCTGGGAAAATCCACCTTAAATTAACAGTTTAAAGTCTACACGATATGAAGAAAATGCTGATTTGAATCAGGTGCATGTAAATATATGGAGGATTTTTGGGTGAGCTGGCTTCATTTTTTAGGTTTAGTTTTGATTGTCTCTGTTTAGGTGATGATGTGTTGAGGTTCAACTGCAGGGAGGTTTATGTTTTAGGACAATTATAGAAAAATGCATGCATTTTTGTGGCCAGTTTTGGTTTATCTTTACCTGTCTTGCCAACTTTGGATCCACAGAGCGGAAACATGTGCAGTGATTGATCAGGTTTAGCAGCGCCGATGCGTCGCACTGATCTGCCGCCCTCACTTTGGTCTGACCACGTGGCATGTAGGCCTGTGGACATAATGAAAGAGTGATTAACCTCCAAAGATCTAAATTTGTAAGTGAATCCTGACATTTTGTGCTTAACTGAATCTAACTAACTAATCTTATTTTGATTTCCCTCTCATTTGAATCAGCAGCAAAGATCTACATAATAGTATTTTTTCTACACTAGGGGGAAAATACAAACTAAATTTCATGATATGCTTTAATATTCAGTGTCTTTTTTGTTGTTGTTGTGTCAGCTAAACTCTATCTAACATGAGTTGGTGTAAGAAGGAGGCAAAACTGTTTCAAGGAAGTCTCTAAATGGGCTGTTTAAATACTAAATCTGTAGGAGCTCTGACTGCTTCTAGTTGATGAGGAAATAAACTGTGTGCTCTTAAAAAGTTTTACAGGAGGGTTACAGAGTGCTGCTTGAGGGCCTGAAGGTCACATAAATCTAAGACGGGCTTCCAGACTTGTCCCTTTCTTTAAATCTACTATTTTTAAGGATTTGTAGAGTGAATTAGCAGATAATTAACAAGCATTCAGTGTTACAGCGGCACACATTAGATTGAGATAATCAAACAATTAAACACAATTAGAACAAATAATTGTCATGGTCAAATAGTCTTTTTTGCTGAAATACCTTCTCAACTGAGTAAAAAATAACTGAATGTATCTAAAGAGCCATCATGAAATTAGATTCTCTCAACACATAGAAAAGTTTATTTTATTTTCCTTTTTAGACAGAAAAACACTGGGACATGATTTATGGAGGCAAAAGAGAGACAATTTCTGCCCCCCAGTCTCTGCAGCCGCATCATTCAAGGGAACTCGATTCTCTTTATACTAACTGGGATTTATGTAAATTTATGAGACAAAGGGAGCAGCCAGTAACTGCTTATTTCAATTTGCATTTTTTTTTAAATGAAAATTTTAACACAGTCAAGAGATGATGAGTTGTTTTTAATCATGAGCACATTAATACTTAATGTCATGACATTTCCCAAAAGTTTTTGGTCTATTTTTTGTGTTTGAAAAAAAAACAACAGACAATAACAACAACAAAACAAAAACAACCTGAGGACAACCTCCATCTAGACCTGCCCCAGCCCATTTAACACACACTTGATTCCCAGGTGAGGTGGACACTACCTTGGCCAGCTCCCAGTGGTCTGACCTCCAGAGAGGGGGGGAACAGTTTGCCCAGTTGATGGTGTTGTCAGGCTGCCTGTGGTGCTTCAGGATCTCTTTCTGCCACGCGGAACAGCCTCTGCACGCCGCGGACAGCTGCACAACCACAAAACACTCAGGAGTTAAGCGGGAAATATCAGGGACGAGTTTGTAGTATACTTAAAATGGCTCCTTTACGGTGAAACAGGCAGATACGAGGCCGAGGCAGATGGCCGCCCACCCTGAGCCATGGTTCTGCTCGAGGTTTCTGCCTGTTAAAAGAAAGTTTTTCCTTGCCTGTGTCGCCTAGTGCTTGCTCATGGTGGGAATTGTTGGGTTTCTGTAATTAACTTCAGAGTAGGGTCTGACCTGCTCTGTTTGGAAAGCGCTGTCAGACAACTGTTGTTGTGATGTGGCGCTATATAAATTAAATTGAATTGAGTTGAAGTAATTTTAATTTTGTAATGTCATTGTCTGAACGTGTGTTTGGACTGATTTTGTATTTTGTGTTGTTTGGTCTTCCTGCCTCAGGACGACAGATGTAAACTAGCAACTATGCTATAATCTGGCTCATTTACAATCTGTATGAGATTGTGCACTGTCTTGATTAAATAAATAAATAAAAAACTCAAAATGGCTCGTTTACGGTGCAACAGGCAGATACGAGGCCGAGGCAGATCTGAGCCATGGTTCTGCTCGAGGTTTCTGCCTGTTAAAAGGAAGTTTTTCCTTGCCTGTGTCGCCTAGTGCTTGCTCATGGTGGGAATTGTTGGGTTTCTGTAGTTAACTTCAGAGTAGGGTCTGACCTGCTCTGTTTGGAAAGCGCTGTGAGACAACTATTGTTGTGATGTGGCGCTATATAAATGAAATCTAAATGAATTGAATTCATTTTAATTTTGTAATGTCATTGTCTGAACGTGTGTTCGGACTGATTTTGTATTTTGTGATTTTGTGTTGTTTGGTCTTCCTGCCTCAGGACGACAGATGTAAACTAGCAACTATGCTAGAATCTGGCTCATTTACAATCTGTATGAGATTGTTCATTAATGTGCACTGTCCTGATTAAATAAATAAATAAGAAAAATAAAAAAAAGTTGGGTGAACAGCCAACACAGGTGACGTCATACCGTGTTCCCCCGAGGTCTACACGTCGACGTCACGCAGGGGCTCCGCAGCGGCGCGTGACGGTTGAGCAGGTCGCCGTGAAACGCCCTCACCTGCCGGTCGGCGTACGGGTGGAGGCCGTGCTTCAGCAGGACCAGACACCGTCCGGCTTTCAGCCAGTTCTTGTACTCGCCGTCGTTCAGACGCGACGCCAAGTCTTCGTGGACCATCTTGGGCTCGTTTCCTGGTGTGAAAAAACACAACAAAGGGGCAGGGCGAGGTCAACGTCCCGCGTGTCAAGCTCCGCCCCGAGGGTGCAGTTCCAGCGAGCGGCCACAAGATGGCGGCGTTCGCCCGGGAAACGGCCGCGGCCTGCCGGCGTTGCTGCTTGCAAACGACGGGGGTGGAAGGCAGATGGCAACAGTGCATTTCTTGCTTTTTAATCGGGGAGGGGGCTGCAGTCTGAAGGTGGCGGTCTCAGCTGCCCCCTCAGAGCAGATAGCTGAGGTCCATCACGTGGCTTCCCAAACTGCAGAGGCCCGCACAAAGCTCATGGGCTTTTGGATTAACTGTGGGCGTGGGCCGTCTTGGGTGGATGCTCAGGCTTTGCAAAGCAAAAAATCCACATTTTACCAGGTTTTATTCCTGAAATATTAGTCAATCTAATGTCATTTGACAGAACGTGGAAAAAAAAGAATGGATTTGATCACTGAAAAACCTCTCCTGTGCCACCAAGACTTAAAAAGCTGATTTTTCCCGGGAATCTGCCCTGACTGTCCCAACCCACATCCGACCACTTCAACGAAGGCTGAGCAGAGATGTTTTCCATTTTTCAATGCAAGTGGATTTATATCTAGAGGATCTCTAATGCTTCGCAACCCTTCCCCTCCACATGATTAATTTCCTTAAGGGGCTTTTCCACTGACTCCCTTCTTCTAAAAGACTGCTTGGCTCTCTAATGACACTTCACAGATTAATTAATGATAGCGGGCAAAGCATTGTGTTTTAACTTTATGGCATTCAAATGATCTATCTGCTTCTTATCAGACTAAGTGATTTAGAGTTCCACAGACTTAACTTTACCGTTATCCACTTGTACGTAAAACTTTCTTGAGATTTTTAATCCACATCTTTTTTTTTTCAGATGTGAAAGCTACTGTGGAGCTTGGCATACACCGTCTAAACATCTTTTTGCTGTTATTAAAGGTTTGGCCACCCACCTTCTCCCTATGACTCAGCCCATGCTACATACACCTACTAAAGAGATTGCATCACCTCGATTAATTTCCTTGGTGGGTGAGCGAGTTTAACTTGTGGGAAACGTCTTTGAAAAGGTTTTGTCTTTTAGAAATGTATGGTATCTGTAGCAATTTGTGTTGATTTATCATGTCTCTTAGACATTCTGTTTTCCTCTAAAAGCTCTCTCACACTTGAAAATCTGAACTCAGTTAACCCGTTTGCACCATCCTAAGTGAGCCTTCTGGACCGGCTGATTACTGGCCCAGTTTCTAATGATTGGCTCCATATTTCTGTAATATTCCACTTGGTTTTAACTCCATGAGTCAGGTAATTCCCTACTTGCTGCTCCCCTGTCTAGCCTTGCTCTCATTTCCAACCTCCTCTGCTCTTTTCTGCCCAGGCTCCTCTGGACCTTTCTTCTCCCAAAGCTGCTCCACTCCACTCTTGCTTCTTCATCTTGCCCTCCTGCCCCGTCCCGGTCAAGCTGCCCCAATCTTCTTTCATCCTCTTTCTGCTTCTGCTCAGCTCTAAAATTTCAATGAGGAAAAATCCCCCCCCCCAAAAAAAGAAGAAAGACAAAGAACAGAAATGAAAATTACTGCCATTGAGTTAAAGCACACGGTAGTTCTGACAACACTGAACTAGCCTGGCTTGTGACTGACCAATTTACTTAAAAAATGAGAATTTAATTACTCAAACGGGTTTATTAACTCATCTAACACAGTTAAAGGAAATCCATTGATGCAGCACATCTCTGATCTAGACTAGATGAGTGATGATGTTTGACACAGTATTTGAAAGTTTCCTCCTCTTTATACACAACTTTCTCCTCTAAAACATCAAGATATGAAGGGAATATATGAATGTAACATTTATTATTTAGGCTTAATTATTCATTACCAAAAAGAATCATCTGTAACTTAAAAATGAATCAGTTGAATGAAATATTCTAAAATTAACAAGAAACACAGTGGATGAAAAAAAAATCCTTATTTGAAAGATAACACTTTCAAATGCAAGTTCTCTGAGAGCTGTGCGGGTTCAGTTTCTGACTAGTAAAATATTGGAGATAATGTACTTGTGTGCTGAGTTTAATACCAAATTCTTGCTTTTTCTGTGTCAGAACAGCTGCTGTTACAGTCTTCCTTTTATCTTGTGCTGTTTTCATCTCCATCTGTAATTGCATGACGGGGTCTAATGTTTCCTCGTCTCTGATGAGGCAACAGAGTTCTCGTTCTTTCCATTTAAGCCGCCAGTCTCCCTGCAGTTCTTTTGAGTCATTATGTCCTTTTTGTGTGGTATTAGAGTCTGAATTCCACTGAATATACAGGGTTTTTCTTGCTCTCTGCATAGGAATGCATTGAAAAGTGTATTTCCTGATGCTTTAGGATTTCTGTTTCCACACTAAATGTCGGTCCAACATCCACCCTCCCAATTTAGTTTGTACAGCCATTGTCCCATCCAGGTTGTCCCTTATCTCACGAAGTCCAGGACGAGCTCTGTCTCTCTGTCAGGTTATCAGAGCTGTAGATTGAATTTAGTTCTCTTTAACTGCTGTACCACATTCATCCGCTTACCAAGGGATCAATTTCTCTCCCCATTTTCCCTTTTTATTGACCGGCGAGCTTTTTAGCTGCATCGATTTATTTTTTTTGCTGTCGTTTGTTTGGTTTTTTAAGCTGACTCTCTCATCTCGATTCGAGTCAGTTATGTGCAAATCTGAACAATAATCAAACGCGCGTAATTCTTTACTTCCAAACGCCTTTCTTTCCCCTTCTATTCTTTGTAGCGAAGATGGAAAGCGATTATTACTTCCACAAGTTTCCTTTGAGCTCTACTTGTGTGTCCTGCAACGCTCCCAGCACAGTCAAATCTAATACAGGGACAGACCCATTGTGCACTTTCTTGTGCTTCACTCATCTTTTAAAAAGAGCTATCGCTTCTAAACCTCATCTACTCCCAGCCTTTTTCATGATAGTGATGTATTCACATATGAATTCTTGCAAAGATTGGAATGATCATTTCCCCACCTTTGTCCACATCTACGCTCTTATATATTCCTGTTATTTTTATATTCACTTATCTAAGAGACATGTTTCAGTGAATAACCGCATGCCTTCCAACCATCCTCCATCCCTTCCATCACATCTAATTCAAGCATCTCTGACTATTCTAAATTTGGTCCCAACCATATTTCATGCGCAGACATGAGATCTGGGTAACTGGAGAACCAATGTGGGCTACTGTTCTTTTTTTGAAATTCTTTCTTGTGCCTCATTTGTCTCAGCCATTTCTTTATTCAAACACCTCCTATGCACTGCTTCGATCACATTATTCACACTTCGCAGAAATATCTCCTTTCCTCTCTCTATTTCCATCACTTTTTGCATCTGGCAGGATTATTGCAAACATTCCTCCTGTCACAGAATTGTTATTTCACAACCTATATGCACATTTCCTCCCACTTATCATCTACTCCTGCTGCCTTTATACATACTGATTGTACAACCTAGCCTTTTACTTATTCAGCCATATTTTCCTTTAGTGTGCAAATTGCGTATTAATGTATTCAGACATATAGCGTGAGAAACGGTAACACAATGAGATTTCTATTTAGGACTGAACAAATCTTGAATATTCATCATGTTACATTATTTAAAGTGCATGGACTGAAACTGATTTTAATTCTTCAGATTTCCTTAAATCCCTTTTTCAGTGTCTTGGAGCTTAAGAATGCTCTTTGATATAAACTGACCCATGGCTAGTTTTTGTTTTCTCGTTGTTTCTGTGCGCTAAAATGTAATGTTGGTGGTTTTAAAAACCTTCCGTGGCAGATCTTTGAGCTCTCAGTGGGGCCGAAAATGGTATCCATGAGGGTGAGGCACACCTGCAGCTCATCTGAGCTCATTTTGAGCACGAGGACCTGCAGGAGCTTCAGTCTTTGACAGATTGTCCCCCAATCTCATGTGGTAATCAAGACCAATCCCCATCTCTTTGTGAGATTTGACCTTTTAAGATTACTGAGCATTGTCTTCTGTGTTCCTCATTTCGGACTCCAAGATAAACTGTGAAACTCCGGTTTCTGGTTAACTCACCTGTGCCGATACCATCTGCCCGGTGCCCCGGCCACCATCTTGGATTGACCACGCTGTGGTCTGGATTCCCTCGCTTACCCCTCGTTCTGCTGACCCCTTCTGGAACCTCTGCAAACTCTCACTAAACCCTTCCATCAATTCATTGTCTGGACTGCTTACTCCCAGAAGGGTTGCAGAGGGTAATGCAGCCGATCCCAAGCGATAATTGACGATGTCCCTAAAGCCACATAGAGACTAACAAACACTCGCAGTCAGTTTACAGTGTTTAATTAGCCCAAGATCAATTATTTTGGACAGTGGGAAGAAGCCAGACTACCTGGAGATAGCATTCATTTGTCAGCCACGTCCCTATTTCGACATGTCGGCCTCCTTTAGTAAGATGTTCCCCATCACTGAGCTGAACATTTCAGATGCCTTTTCCGCTTTGATCCCCATTCAGATTTGTAATTTCAAGATTTCAGCAAGGTGAGATGAGGGAATCTCTGAGGTCTGATGTTTTTAAGCTCTTAAATCACCTCATTTAGAGATTCAATACAGCCCTAAAGAAAAGGTATTCAGGTTTCCATTCTGATGAGAGTCACACTTATAAAAACATAACATTCTAATCATGACTGGTTTTTAATCCAAAGTGTTTCAGAACAAATTCTTGGTCTTGTTTCACACAAAGAGCTTTGGTTACTCAAACGCTTCCTCCCTTTTCCTCCTGAAAACATTATGACTTTTTGAATGAAATAATTGAAAATGATAGTTGTTCAGATGTTGAAACGCTCTCATGAGTGGTATTTCCCTTCTGTCATTTGAAGAGGGAGCATTTCACTGAATAATATGAATAGATCTGTTGACTGCTTCGTTGGGGCCGTGTTCTCTGTTAAATTGGGTCATTTTGCCAACAAACAACTTCTGGCTCATCCAGCTGCAAAATGCTTTGTTGTGACTATTGATCGACTTTAAAAAAAACAAAACACAGAGTTACACTAGAATCATTTCATTACATTAACTCAAATTCTGAGCTACGTCAAGTGCGATTGTAAATAATCAGCCCGCGGCTCATTAGCTTCACCTTTGTGTAACGTATGACTGCATGCGATTCCTGCACAGTTTGATAACCTCTCATGAGAGGTGACATCACCAGGCTGCTACATCTGCTGCCTGCAGTGAGGAGAAGGGTTGAATACCCAGAAGAGCCTGGCCAGCAGCTGCATGCGCTAATGTCCCTGAGGCTGTTGCTAGAGATGTTCATCAGGGAGGAGCTGACAGATACCATGTATCAACTGGAGACTCGGAGCCTGCCGGAGGAGAGCAGCCACTAACCCCCCTTGCTATTTCAAGGTTGAGCGGTATGGAGGCGCAATGCTTGCAAATGTCAAAAGGAAACGCATCCCAAAAAAACACTAACACTTTACAGCGCACCTCCCATCTCCACGCTCACGGTGAGTTTTTTGTGGTGTTTTTCCTCGTTGCCGCAGACAACTGTCGAACCTCATTTAACACTGAGCTGTTTCCAGTCAAGTCGCAGTTGCTTTAGTCACCATTATTCCTCAGTTAGCCAAAAGAAATGAAAAAAAAAACAGCTCCTGGCCATAGATGGCACAATATGGAGTTGAAAATAGATTCAGAAATAAACATAGTTTGTTAATTTTATGATCTACTAACCAAACATCTGATTGTAATATTTGTAAATGAGCAACACAGGATGACATGATACCCTTTTATTCCCTATTACTACTTTACAGTGCTCCTGTAACAGAAGTAAACAATGGGAACCTGTTTGGGATGTACCCTGCCTCTTGCCCAACGACAGCTCCAGTCCCCCTGAAAGCACTTCTAGGAATAAAATATATGTTTGATTTCGATTTATTTCTCGCTGTAAAACAGTGTAAACGTAATACTATGGAAATTGGCTTCTAACCTCTTCCAGATTGACAAGCAGCTAAATTGAATGGAAGCAGTAAGCGTCGACCAAACTGATAATCAAACAAATCCACCTCGGGTGGATGAAGAACTTTGAACTTCTTGAAAATTCACATTGCATCCAAAGAGCCGTCTCCCTTGATCTAATGGATCGTCTCCGTTTCTTTCACGCTTCCAGAATTCAGTATGCAAGAGCTGGCTGATTAAAAACCCGGGGTGGAGGGGCTTGGTTAAAAAGGTGAAGCCGTAAAAGATTTCCCTCAGGTTTGGTGGCAGCACCATATGGGTCTAGACTGAAGTACCAGGAAAACTCACATTTGCCACGCACATTAAGCCTCCGTGCTATAAAAGCCCCCATGAGCCTCAGTGATATTTTTCTAAATGTTATACGAAATGTTAGACAGTAGGCAAAAGGACTGGCCTTAAACCTGCTGAGCTTCAGCAGCAATGAAGGGTTTTTATTGTTTTTGTGCTGCTTCAAGAGTTCTTTATTGTAACTCCGACCTCACTACAGACTGCGCAGAATTCAAATGATGTCCATTTCATTTTGTTGATCACATGGACCAACAATCCGCCTCCCCTCTGTCAAGTGCATGCTGGGAGGCTCTTAAGGCACGACCATACTTGTAATGGATGTATCGGGTGGGGTGAGAATGTCTGAGTGCATTTGTTGTATGTGCGTCTGATTTTCCTCCAGGTTAACTGGCCTAGAAATCAGGGTGCAATAGGAAAAAGCAGCCACAGGATTCCCAATTAAAACAGATTACGTTACAATTATGAAAATGAAAAGACATTTGTGTTGTATCAAATAATTTCATCTTAACATGAAAATTTAATTAGCCTTTTAGGGTGTACAGAGAAAAACAAATATCCCTCTATCTTTGTAATGAGATCTCTATGGATTTCATGATAGTTAAAGTAGATTAGACACCCTGGAGTGTGTGTGGATATGTGTGCGGGCGCACAAAGGGGCCCTGTTCCTGCAGCCGGTTGAGGTGACACAACTATATTAATGCGTCTGGATGTGTGTGTGAGTATATGCAAGGTTGTATATAAATACATGTATGCATCTGTGTGCATCTCTGGTTGTGTGTGATCCCAGAAGGTTTTTTTTTGCCCAAGCAGAAGAGATCAAAGAGACATTAGTATTCTGAAATAAATCACATGCTCAGGCCTCACTGTGTGGGTCCCCAAACACATACACGGGAGACACACTCTCTCTCTCTCTCTCCCTCTCTCTCTCGCCCTCTCCCTCGGTCTCTCTGTCTCCTCCTTTTTCTTTCTCCTTCCATCTCTCGCTTCAAAAGACCCCACCGGCCCACACCACCACCAGCACCTCGCTCCACCCTTCCACCTCCTCTTCTTCAGCCCCCAGCGGCCTTCAGAGTGATCTGATTACTGGTTCGGAATCCTTTGTTGCATCCTTTCGGCTCCTCACGTTCCAAACTGAGTCTCGCTCCGTCTGCAAATAAGCAGGAAAATGCTTTGTCAGAAGAAACTGTTGTTCGTTGCTTAAAAAGTCAGAAATGCAAAGTAGGGGGTTTTGACAAGCATATCCATAGGGAAGGACCTCTTTTTCCACTCCTGCCTCCCCTTTTCCTGCCTCCAAATCTCACTTGCTCGTTCTCCAATTCTCCACAAAGCTAAGCTACATATGTATATATATATATATATATATATATATATATATATATATATATAGCTTAGCTGGACTTCACCTTTCTCTGAAAGATGGCCACGGCTTTTGCCGGTGGGAGAAACAAGGGAGTGAGAAAGTGAAATGAAAGGGAAAGAGGGGGAAAAAAAAGAAGATTGACACTGTACTGTGGGGAGAGGAAGAGGCTCACTTTTTGCCAAAGAATTTGAATGAGTGGAACACAAATGCCCCCTGTAGCTTCCTGACAGATACAATGTCTGAGATTCAGGGTTTTTTCTTTGTGACTCGCTGTCTGTGTGAGTGCGTGTGTGCTTATTTGCATGTGAGTGCGCATGTGGGCACGTGTGTGGGATGGATAAGTTTAGTCCAATGTGTACATGCATGTACTTATTTATGTGTGTTCTTGTATCTGTACGTGTGTGTGTGTGTGTGTGTCATTTTGATAGCCACCCACATGAATATGCAGATCAGTTTTAGAGAGCGTATGTGCTCAGCATTAAAGCCCACTCTCCACTGCTGACCCAATTTCACACTGCAGTGTATCTGTGTGTGTACGTACGCACTTGCTTATCAATGCATTTTGCCAAGCTCGGAAAAAAAAATCATGCGGTTAAGACCTGGGCGTGCGAGTGGGTTTGTGTGTGTGTGAGAGTTTGCCCGTGAGTGTTTGTAGTGGAAAAAACACATGTGATAAGTCTCAGCCAACACATTCGCTTTTACAGTTGGCTGCGAATAACAAAATTCTCATTAATGCAATCTGAGCGAGCCACAGTCCTCCACAAGCAGAGCCGCGTTCTTTCAAATCCGTGCTTGTATTTCACGTCTCACACAATGATTTATGTCCTCCAGGTCCCTGCCTTATCCCGCATTGTCTGTCGAATCTTGTTTGAGCAGTATAAAAAGACATGGATGATTAAAAAAAAAAGATTTTGAAAGCAACTACCCTTTTCAGCTAATGAAAGAAATCTCCCTCATCTTGAATAAATATGAAGCTCTAGCCGGCACCTGGTTTAGGAAGCAGATGTGCTTAGCCTGACAGATGCCTCAAGGTCTAACATTTACAAATGCTGTGCTCTGTAATTGGCTTTGCTTTCTTACTACTGGGAGGCAATCCATCCATCCATCCATCCATCCATCCATCCATCTATCCATCTATCTATCTATCTATCTATCTATCTATCTATCTATCTATCTATC